GACGATGGGTGGCATCGCAACCTCCCAATCTGTTCTTTGCTGTGTATGACTGGGGATGGCGCCCCAACTCCCCAATTGGCTGTGAGCCAGACCACGGGCTGCACCTAGAGATCGGGCCTGCCCTCTGCCATCCGGGAGCAGGCCTAAGCCAGCAGTTCGTTATCTCCCAAGGGGTCCCAGACTGTGAGAGGCACAGGCCGGGCTGAGGGATCCCCCTTCCCCCCGAGTGCACAAATTTTTGTGCACCGGGCCTCTAGTTTCAAAGATAAAAACCAATATATAAGGATGGCAGAACCAAAAGATGGAAGGAACTTGATGTACATCGGAGTTTTCTAATAGCCTTTGAAATTTCCTAATTTCTTCTTATGGGAGAGATGATTTAATCAGACTAATTACCTTGTCTGCTATTTGTTCACCTTAGTTTATTATGAATTTTATTATATAATCAAAATGGGAACAGTTGTGACAGAGAAGATTTCTCCGTCTAACTGGCAAACAGCCAGGGACTTCTGTAGCTGTTAGCGAAGAGCCACTCACTTGGAGCAGATTCAGCTACTCCACTCAAGTCCAGAACACACTACTTACCTCCCTATGATAAGCTGATGTAATGGAAAAAATCTCTCTGGTTTGCTGGTAAAAAATGTAACATTGGCTTCTCTAAAACAAAACAAACAAAAGTGTGTATTCATGCGTATATAAATTTACTATAAATTTTACAGATATAAAAGATGTGTAGCACACATTTTATCCTATATAATAAAATATACCACATTCTTTCTTGTAAGTTCCATATAGCTAATGGATTCTCACATAATGCGTTGTTTGGTTTTGTCAAATTTGTGTATCCATGAACAACTGATGGATGATTGTTTTGCCAACATGGAAAATGGTTGATATTTTCATCTGCATTTAAGAATAAGACAAAATGAAACTATAAAGGCATATGTTGGAACTTTAGTCAATGGTCAATGGTCAATGATCAACTTCTTTACTAAATCAGATAAGTTTTCAAACAATGGAATAATATTTTCTCAAAATTATGTATTATTCACAATGTAACAGATATGACCATGATATATTTTAAGTGTGCTCTATTAACATTTTCTCTATCAGTAAGTTTAGACAGCAAACAAAAAAATCAAATCTTGATTTTTAGTGTTTTCTAATTGCTGCGGTATAAATATTCTTGTTGTGGCTGACTTTAAACTACTGACATGATGTCAAAGTACACAAAATTGGGAAGAGGTATACAGTGGCACACTATAATACTATATTTCCTCCAAGAGAACCAAGAGAGGTAAATAATATAAAAATCAAAGATAATGGTACGATATACTAAAATAATTAGGAAGTGATGAGGTTTGAGTATTTAATACATACAAAATGTACTGAATTACATACTTATATACTAGTAGTTGAATCTTTTATAATAGCTGTGTTTAACAATTACTTTGCAAAATTACTAAAAATTTAATAATCAGTTCTCACAAGCTGTAATGGGCTACCTCAAGCACCATATGCCTCATCACAGAAATAAGGGATTCATTTTCCTGGTTCAATTGAACTTAATTTGAATAACAAATTATTTAGAATCTGCTGTTTCAATCAAATGTGTTTGTTTTTAGGCAAACAACTCTATTGGCAGATTGTTTAATTCCTCCTCTAGTATTAATGCCAGTAGCGACCTGATGTAATGTTTAAAGACCAAAATCTGGATATTTTAAGCTGGCCATGAGTGCTATATTTCCAGATTTAC